AAAATTGTAAAATTAATCCTTTGTGATGCTTATCGTCATGGCTCAGTTTGAACAATTATCTACATTCCAATTACTTCCGTTGAAAACGGATGTTTCACTTTTTGACTATTTAAAACAAAAAGATATTTTTATACACGAAAAGCACACAAGGTTGCAAAACAACTAAATGTTATGAGTGCCTTAGTTACTCCATAGAAGAAATTGATGTGTCCTATCGAGGATAAAAATGAATCAAGAAAAAAAATGGCGGCCATTTTATTTCATTTTATTTTAGAAGATAGACCACGTGACCAGATTTTATACTGTTTAAAAAAACTGTTACCTATGTAAAATTTTTCGTCACGTGGTACTCTTGCATTAACAGTAAAAATAACTCACAGAGGCCTATGGGAAATTAGCATTACGAAAAAAGTGAGGGGTAGTAAAAACAAATATACTATTATAATTTTGTTTTACGTCATTTTATTTAAGAAAATACATCACTTTCATACGTCATACAAATAAACAGGTTATGGTTTATATGTCAATATTTTGTTTAATTTAATCAGAAAATAGCAAGGCAAGTCAACAGCATATATTCGTTTTCATTTCAGTTTCTTAACTAGATGTGTATCACTTTATGATACTAGGAAACCCCATATTCCGGATCAACTGTTGTATTGTCTTATTTAGGAGTAAAACTTAAATAACACTCCCTTGTTTTTTTCTTCTGTTAATTCTAATCTATATGCAGGCGTTTGTTTCTTTGTATTTTCTTTTTTTTTTCTTTTTGCCAAAGCTAGTTTTAAGACTTTTTAATCTTCACCCTCATTTTGGTCGAGGACAGAACATTCCTTAATGAACTGTGGAGCTTGATTGTAGAATTCTTCTTTTTCAATGACCCTATTCCCTACAAATTGATAAAAAAAAAACGTATGAATTATCAGTTTTTTAAAAAGTATAAATTAAAAAAAACTTAGTGCTTTTTTTTCATTAATAAACAAAACAAAAGTCTTTTTTAAGGATGTTTTTTACAAAGGTTGCTGAACTTTATAAATAACAAGAATGCATCAAAAAAGCGAAAAAGCTTTTATGAGTTGTTTTTTTTAAATTTGAAAAACGATTAAATTTTGTAAAAGATCGTAACTTTATTATCGGCTACAAGGGTATTATGATGATTTCAGGGGAAGGACCACATTAGTAAACATTTTTAAGAAAAGAATTATATGAATAGGAAAATGATGCATTGTATTATGATAGTTTTTCATGTAAAATTACAGACACTATTTTAATTTGTAAATCAAGAATCCGATGAAAAGCGTAAACAAAAATGTGCGTGAACACTGTAATAATGTGTTTTACTCTTCCTTTCAAAATAAATATATCTGTGTTAAAGATGTGGCATGGTCCTGTGTTAAAAAGTCGGACTAAAAATTAAATTGCTGCTTTATTACCCCTCCATGAACACAAAAATGTGATGAATATAGAAAAAAACACATTCACTTCACTTTCATTAGCACATACCAAGAACAAATGTGACACTGTGTATGTAATGTTACCAGTTTCTTAGACTCCAGATACTCTTGACAGTGAAAAGGTAACCATAATGCAACTTTATATTAATTATGTATACACTAAATTCATTTATTTGTATAAAATGAACCACACAATGGATAACAGCTCTGATATCATGTTGATGCCTTAAGCTTTCTTAATTCTAAAATAGTTACTGTAGTGTTACTTTAGAAAAAAGTATATTCCATATACAAACCATTTTCATCCATGTCTATAAATAGTCTAAGTGCAATCTCACTGTCACCAAATATGGCATGCATTTCACCAAGGACAATTTCGTCATTTCTATCAATATCGTATGTTATGAAGTTGCATGGATCGATTTGGAATGAGACACTGTAAAGTTTTTTCCCTGCCTGAAATTAAAAGTTTACCTTGTCCTTTGATATGATGAAAATTATAAATGAGTTAACAAAACTAAAAATAAGTTTGTTTTTTGTCAAATAGTGGAACACAAGATAAATTTTTAAAAACTCTGTTTAAAATTCGCCGTGCATGAAAAATGGAAAACAACAAGAATCGTAAAATCAAGGTTTACATAAAAATGTATGTTTTTGTAAATGTTCCAACAACTAATTCATTCATCCATTTGGCTTTGACTTGTGTCACGTCAATAGTGTCTAAACAATGTCATTCAATAAAATTAATGCACTAAAAAAAATTATATAGATATTAAAATCATATCAAAATTGTTCAATTACAGCATTTCTTTTGAAACGCCAGCCTAGATACGCCCCGACAAGCCAGTTCCCATATGTATCAACAGTTCCATGGACCGATGTTGCAAATGTGTCATCAAAGGTTGCAGTATATCTCCCTGTCAAACTAGGAACTCCGTTGTATATATCTAATTCTGCTCCAAGTCTTATGACTCCATTCATTTCTTTCGTTGTCACTCCCAAATATATCATCATTTCCTCCCCAACTGGTATCAATATTCCAAAAGTCATCAATTGACAAACAACTTGTTGCTAGTATTACAACAAAAAATATTGTCACCTTCTGAAATAATAGAAATATATTACAGGTGAAGATGAAATTAATTAAATAAATAAATAAATAAATAATAATAATAATAATAATAATAATAATAATAATAATAATAATAATACTTATAATAATAATAATAATGATAATAATAAAGTACTAATGAAAATAAAACTAATACTTGATCATAATCATAATATACGAAGTTTCAACTTCAAAATGTAAATAAACAAGCCGTAACTAAGACAGTGTTTTCAACTATCCTCAAATATTTCATCGAGAGAAAAAAACAAGGACATTAACTATTGCCAATATTCAGTCAAATTCCTATGAAAATGGGTCTTGAAGAATCCTTTTTACAAATAATTCAGAGGACAGGAACCAAGTTCAAGCACTGGAAATGAAGATTAAAAGGAAACTATTAAAGTTTAATCAGTATAAATACATGCGATAGTGACACACTTTTAAACATAATCGCCTAAAAATATAATCAAGTTTCACGTTAACACATTCAGTAGTTTTGCAAACATGATGTTACATGTACAATTAAATAACAATATTTCATAATTCAACACAAAGCAATAATGTATAAAAAATCAATGCTAGATTATATGCCTCTGTGGATGATGTTAAAATACAATACGAGAGACAAGTGTTAAGTTAAAACAAAATATAAGTAGTTAATGAACTTTGAAGTTGTACAAGTAGGAACACTTAAAGCTGAAGTTTAAGTTTTAATTGAGCCGAAACTAACAATAACACCGAAGCTCAGATGAGAAGGCTAAGTATAATACTTGAGCAAGAAAGTAATTTTTGAGACATTGTATTACTTTTTGTTGTAATTCTAACGTAAATACTTGAACTTTATAATGAACTCATTTTGAGCTTAGTTAATACAATTAATGTTGAGATTTTCAAGGACACTTCATAAATTATGCTAAATTAAGTAAATAACGATCAGTTTTCTTTAAGTATTTTTCAAACTCATTATGTTTGTAACACAGGGGAGGAACTGTTACAAGAAAATAAGTAAGTACATCTTTTTTTATAGTGACATGTGTATGACAGTTTACAAATAAGCATTAACGAAGTATATGGCTACTTTTCGTGGAAAGCTTGCAAAGTATTTCATTTTGATGTCATCTTTCATTTTCGAAAAGTCTGTATTTATAAATTGTTCACTTGTTACACGAGGAATGGAGGCGATATGATAACTTGTCAGGATTTCTTGTGAAAACTGTTACGGCGTTCGTCGGAAAACTTTTGTACATTGTACAAAAATACCCGACAAAAATTCTTCTTTAAAATGTGAGTGTGAGTTGCTAAATTAAACATTCATTATTAAGTTTGCCTTGAATATTTATTGTATTATGTGTCCGAAAAATATTTTGTAGTCTATATTCCATTGCCCCTTTGACTTAAGGCTTGACTCGTTCATTTGTGATCTACTTTTTTGTCTAACATAATTACCTAATTTTAAAGGTAAGTTGCAAACATAATGTGCATTATATTTAAGAAATGTTTCTTTCTACAAATTTTATACAAATTATATTTTCCCACTGTTGAAAATATGGTTTCCCTAGACAACAATAACGTAGGGTAGACATATGACTAAAACATTTAACAAGTTGGTCATTCTCATAGTTATGATAATGCCTGTCCATTCCTTTTAACACATGTATTTAGTCAGGTTTTTATGATATTCAATTATTTAATTGGATTAAACCTTAATGAAGACCTACACTGACCAATTTATTAAATTAAATGTTAATAACATTGTAACAAGTTAAATGTTGATGCTGCACATCAAAGATGCCGCCAAATGACGTGAACAGTCATGCAATGTACAAAATCAGCATTGGCAATTATTGTTCTATATTACAGCTACATATCCAAAGCACTAATCAATTTGTTTACATGTCCATTGTATGTGTTCGTTGTTTAATAATAAAGTTGCATATTTTTGTGAAAAAGTAAAACTTTATGCATAAATTCACAAAGTAATGCGATGTCTGAAATTCTGAAATGTTGAAATGATTGAATGGTCTGGTCGAGGCAAAATATTAAATTTAACACATAGACAGAGATAAAGAAAAATATCTCCGTTGCGGCGAGAATGTCCAATTTAAATGTTTGTGCGAATTGCATAATGCTCGAATGATTTTTAGGACGAATTGTTCTGTCAGTTTACAAATGGCAAAAATATGTAATATTGAATACTAGCTATGAATAAATTGATAAATATAATCAATTCTTACTTACGTATACAAAAATAAATAAATTATGTTTTGCGCTGATGAAGGCATATAGCCGAAACGTTTTCAATTAAAATAAATTACTAAATGTTCGTGTTTGTGTGGCTTGTCTGATTATTTTTTACGTATATTTACATATTTATAGAAAATAAACTACTTTATAAAACACAAGATTGCATATTTGCCTTGAATCTAAGTATAGAGCCACTAAATGTAATAAAAAATCTAGGTTTAACAGAACAATCGTCACAGAATCCTTCAAAATAACCAACTGCAAATATTTGTATTACGTTTTCAAATACGCATACGTTTTCACTCAATAAATCTGTTTTATACATTTACTTAAAAGTTTATTATTTTCACGAATAAACACCTTTTTTATGTTTTGCAAAAAGATATGTCCGTAGTGCAAAAAGAATCTCCGTTGCGTTTGTAAGTCATACTTCTTAATATCTGTCCGAATATGGTTCCTATCACTAGAATATAGACTGGCTCATTGGCACGTTATAATTACGTAAATAAATTAAGATAATGATAAAATGAAAATAATCTTCACACATGGCACTGTAACATCAATAATAATTCCTTAAAGCTCATTTACATGTTGTACATCAAAAGAGCTTTTTTTCATTTGAAGATTTGAAAACATTGCGATTTTGCTCAAACAAAAAATACACAAAATCCAGTCTGAAATTGTCCCAATTGCTGAATAGACTAGTATGTATCTACTTCACGCCGCATGCACGAGGCGTCTTATAATTAATTGAAAGAAAGGGATTTTATTTATGTATTTTAACTGAATTTTAGATAATAGTTGGATCTTTTCAATTTCTCTAAAAATTGAACTTCTTGCCATTTAATAATTATTAATGTATATACAAAGTACAAAGTATATAACAGTAGAAAAATATAACTTTACATTAATTAGTAGTACAGCATGTGTTACATGTCAGTATTTAAGATTGATATTATTACTGGTAATGGACCCCAAGAAATGGTGTGTGAAATTAAGAATGTATGTTGAGGTTTTTTTGTAAATACTCTACTGCTGCTTTAACTTGTTTATATATAAAGATTTGTTTTAACTTCAAGCAATTTTAAGTGTTGAAATTGAATACTGCTGAAGTCCGTGCTACAATCGTGAGGTATGTTGCACAAAGAGAGAGAGAGAGAGAGAGAGAGAGGGAGAGAGGGAGAGAGAGAGGGGGTGCTCATTCGGTCAACTGCTTATGCTGAATAGAGAACTTCTATAATGCTTTAAAGGCCGTGTCAAAGACTACCAGAAAGTCATTGGCTGGCGGAAAGAAAGTCCACGGACATGGATAAGATGAAGCAAAATGTTCAAACAAGTAAATGTTCAGTTTTTTGTTTATCCACCTGGTGTAAAAATATTAAATTTGATGACATTAATTACAGCATATATTATTACTGTACATACTAAGGTTACCATAACTTTAATTTCAGTTAATTTTCTCTTTTAAAATCAAATGAATTTAAATTATTTACTGACTGTTCTTTGTTTGTTTTTTTAAACAATATTAGTTTGTGCCAAACACGTAAACAATCTAGAAACAAAGTGATCCTTCGGAAGCATTAATTGCAACGAAATTACAAGACTGTTGTTATCTGTTTAAAGGCTTAATATTGTTGTCTAAGAATGAATATTTTTGATACAAAAATTTAAAGGAATAGGAATGGATGGATTGATGTTTGTCTAATATAAATATTCATCATTTAAAAAGAGGAACCACGACAGTTTTCCTATTGACATCAACCCTATAAGAGAGAAATTCGTGTTTTAAGACACTATTTTTTACTTGAGAAATAAGTTCATGGGCGCCGCCATTTTGGCGTTCTGTCATTCTCGCGAGACAGACGAGACTGAGAGTGTGACGTGTTACACCCACTTCCGGTATAGGTGTACACGCTGGTACAACTGAAATATATCTTGATGAAGAACTTATTAATTTTATTGCGTACGTTATATATTATTAATGAAAACATCATATGGAACTGAATTGCTTTAATTAATTAATTGTAGACGCCGCGACATTAATTATCATTTGTCCGATATTCAAGCTTCCTGATGATCCCACCACATGATTTAAGCAATGACTGCTTAATCTTCAAAGATAAACCACAAATTTAATTTGGGTACTATGAGAAACTTCTTCAAATTGACGATAAATCATTTTATTTTGTACTTAATTTTCGCTAGACATCGCCGGTCATGTATCTTTTTTTTTCAGGTAAAATATTAACTAAATCCAATATGCAGAGATCTGCTGAGGACGCGATTTTCCGCAATTGACGCTAAAAATGAGAATGGCGCAGGAAAATCGGCAGCCAGACTAATATCGTATGGAAACAAAACAGTCCGCTAGGTTATTTAGGCACCCAGTCAAAACTGGTACCAACAGCAACAGGTTGCCCATTCCCCTATAATAACGTATATTCTCGGGTTTATCCAGTTCCCTAAAGCTTTTTTTTACCAAATTCCTTTCCCCGACAGATACGTATTTCTACTACCGTAAATTTAATCCAATAAAACAAAAAATCATAAATCTACTTAATATTTAAAATGATTATTGGTAACTGAAAAAAAAGTATTGCTATTTTATGACGTGCTGTAATTTACAGTATAATTTGACAGGTGTGGTAACCTAATTCTCCCCTAAGGTCATTCAGTTCACTGATGAAGCGTAAAAAAATAGATGTCTATTTCGTCATTAGAATATTTGACAAGGGTGATTAA